CTTACTCACTAACAAAATTAACCTAGGACAAACCAAACCAGATGACTAAAGCTAACAAACCCTAATCTAAGTTAACCTAACTTATGATAACCTAACTAGAAACCAAGCTAAGAGTCCGTAATCTAACTTATTACTAGGATTAACTGAATTTAGACTGAAAAAGAAGACAGAAAATAAGAATTAAAATACAAAGTTGAAAGACAGCTAGATACTGCAGTTGAAACAAAGCAAGGGAAAGCTAATTGCCATCTGTGCTCCCGGAGTGAGTGCTCTTGAGCACCACTAATGGATATGAACGTGAGTAGATGATGGAACATTGTACTGTACATATGTGAATGAGTTGGTGCGTGTTGCAAGGCCAGTTGTACCCTTCAAGAGTAGCAACTCTCATTAAATTATCCCTAATGTTATTGTACCTATTGCAGCAAAAAACTAAGTGAAGTGGTGTTTGGTCCTCCTGAATACCACAATTGCATTGTGGATTGTACCCAAGGTTAAATCTATGCAAGTATTGCTTAAAGTTGCCATTTCCTGTAAGTAGCTGAGTGAGGGTGTAACTAGGATAAAAGTGGCAAAGAAATCACAGTAGTGTCAACCTTGGGGTTGAAAGTATAGGTGAGCCTACCAGTGGTATCATGGTCCCAGCTGTCTTGCCAGAGAATGATTTGCTTCTTGACCTAATTGTTGATTTATGAGGTAGGAATGTAACTGAAAGTACTAGTGACTGAAGACTTTGCAGCTTGTTTGGCAAGATGATCAGTGGTCTTGTTGCCGAGAACCCCTGCATGACCCAGGACCCATTGTTAATCTATTCTAATGTTGTTGTCTAAGTGTCTGGGAATGTGGTGTATGAGATGGATGAGTTTTAAGCAGCTATCAGACTTCGCAATCCTGTGTAAAGCTACCCTACTGTCAGAATAAATGCAATAGTGTAAGTAATGTCTTTTGTTCTTCCTACATCTAATGTGAATTAAGCTCATATAAATAGCTAAAGTTCCGCCTGTGCTATTGAGCAGTGTGTACCTAGGTGGAAGCGAACGTTGTGAAGCTCATGGCCTAAGTTGGAGTAAACTACAAAAGTGGCACCCACATCACCCATCTTGGAACCGTCAGTGTAAATCCTGAACATGGGATGATCACCTGGATCTTTGAAGTAAATGTCAGGGGGCAAGCTGATGGGAGGGGTGGTAATCATAAGTCAGGAGGGTATTTTTGTTGATACTGAATTTTTTGATACATTGATCAAAGTCAAACTGGGGAAAATCTTACCTACTCTAATCATTTTGTCAACATCTGAGTCACTATAATCTCACCAGGGTAAGGTGACGAGATTTTCCTGGCAAATAATACATTTAATTTCTAAATTGATAGGGGTCAATCCTGACATTACCAAAAGGGGTGCAGTCCTATAAGCCTTTGAGAGCTGCAATTCTTTGAACAGATAAGTTTTTTACGGTTATGGACTTTGGCGGCCACGTGGCCCAGACCTGTATGGCATAGAGGAGTGCTGGCTGAATTGCACCCTATAAATAAGTTTAGTAGTGTTAGGGCCAAGGTCCCAGCAATAGGGCATTAGCCATCTTTTTAGTTTTGTCTGTGATATATTTGATGTGAGGTGTGAAGTTAAGTCTCTCGTCAAGAATAACACCTAAATATTTAATTTCTGTTGTTTAATTTATTCTGTGAGCACCTATTCGAATGATAAGCTTCCTGACAAGAGGCACGGCATGTTCCTACTAACTATCATGCTTTCACATGTATCTGTGTTAATGGGTTGCCTATGCTTAATACTCCAGTGGTAAATGTTATTGAGAATGATGTTGCATATGTCCTGTAAGAGTTCACTGTTCCTGTGTGAAGCTAGGATAATTGTGTCATCTGCATAGCCCTGTAGGCAGTAGGGTGTCGTTTAAGTGCAGAATAGAGTTACAGCAGTACCTCAGGATACAAAATTAATCCGTTCTGAAACTGAGATCGTATCATGAAAATGTCGTAAGGTGAATCATTTTTCCCCATACGATTACATGTAAAACCAAATAAATCGTTCCAACACGAAAAACACACTCAAATTAAAGCTAAGTAGTATATTAAAAAAAATAACTATAGTAAGGAAAACACTGAAAAATGCATTTTATAGTTGTAAATGTATAAATAACAATAATGGAATAATAGAATAATAATTGATAAAAAAATGTAGTTTTATTTGTACTTTATCTTGAGGAGGTGTAAACTGGTGAGGAAGAGAGGGAGAAGGGAAATGATACTAAAACTTAACTTACATAACATAATGTAACAATAACTTAAAAATAACTTAGATAAGATAAAAAAAATTCGTGTTGTTATATATATATATTTTCACTGTTTTTTGCTTTCTTTCCTTTANTTTTAATTTTTATTTACAGCCTTTTTGCTTTCTTTCCTTCACTTCCACCAGCACTTTCACTGGATAGAGGTCGCTTGGTAAAATAAAATATCTATCCAAAGAGGTTTGGCTTTGCCTACTTTTTAAAATGTTTCTAAAATGACTTAGGCAAACGCCATTACTCCGAGCAGCAATACGGCCAGTGTGAACCTTTTCGGAATGTTTCTTTTCAATGAAATCAGTCACTTTCTGATAATACCTCAAGATTTCCTTTATCGAGCGAGATCCTTCCACAACGAAGGAAACACGCGGACTGAGACTGATGAACAGAAGTGAATAAAAAATGGTGCTGCAAACTAATGTAACATCATATGGTGAGTTTTTGTTCGTATCATGCAGCAAAAATAGGTTCAAATTTCATGTCATATCCTGAAAATTTTGTATGCTGGGGTGTTCGTATCCTGAGGTACCACTGTATAGGCTATGTTCCAGAGACCAGGATCAGATCTGGATCCCTGAGGACAGCCTCGAGTGATGGATATGACTGTTATTTTGTGTTGTAAAAAACCTGCACTCCTGCTGCTAAGATAGGACTGAAGAAGTCTGTAAAGATTTTGAGGGCAGTGATGAGCATGTAATGTATGCAGGATAAAAGGCCATCGGGTGTGATCAAAGGCCTATAAAGTCAATAGTTATAATTGCAGTATGCTGATTGTTTTGTTTAGCCTGGTGAATGTAGTTAATGACCTGATTGATGGCATCTACTGTACCTTTGATTTTAGAGAAGCCAAACTGATTCCAATGTAGGGCTCTATACTTGCATAGATGCTATGCGATCCTATTAATCATTAGACCATCAACACTTTTCCCAGAGTTGGGAGAAGGCAGATCGACCTGTATTTTTTGTAAGTGTTAGTGCTGGTGGGTTTGGGAATCAATTTGACACTAGCCTTTTTCCACTGAGTAGGAAAAAGGCCAGTGTTCGAACAGATATTGAAGAGAATTACAAATGCTGTAGGATTGGCCTCAAATGCATGTTTAATCATTCTAGTGGTTATGTCATCAAGACTTGGGGATTGGCCTCAAATGCATGTTTAATCATTCTAGTGGTTATGCCATCAAGACTTGGGGCTATGTTTTCTGTGAGCGAACAGATGGCATTCAAAACTTTGATGTAGGTGAAGTTGTGGTCATTGTCTGTATTAGATGGAGTGAGTGTAGAACTCCACCATGTGTATTATCATCCAAAGGATAAAAGCTAGTGAGGATGTGCATGATAGTTTCTTCCATGTTGGTGTAGCAACCATCAGAGAGCTGGATAATGGAGGGGGTTTGGAACTGGTGTTTTTCCTTACAAGCTAAGTAATATAGTTCAGACCAGGGATTGCAACTCCAAGTATTGGTACAGAAATCTTCCAAGTGTTAGTCCTTGCTTTATTTATAAGTGTTTTGTAAGTGTTGTGTCTGTGCTTGTACTGGTCTCTAAGTGTGACTAATGTAATATACAGTAATGCAAATATAATATACAGCAATATCAATTGTCATTTGTAAATTTTAACACAGCTGTATTATGCATTATTATGAATTTTAGAGAAAAGTCTGTGGTGTAACATTGATTAGTTTTTTGAAATATTTTAACACACTACAAATCTCTCACAATTACCATTTATGCACACAGTTTGAGGGCAGATGTTAATGAAGTGATTAAAAGAAAATGGTAACAAAGTACAAGAAATGATAAATAATTTAAATTTAAATGGTATTATTTATCATTTTTTTATTTTAATAATTTTGTGTAACAAAATAATTTCTGTTTTTTTTCCCAGTTTATTAATATTTTATAAAATTCAGGAAATTTAAGATATAAATTTAATAAATATATACTTTTGTACATGGATTATACAGGATTTTTTAATGAGTAATAAATAATGGCTTTTTTTTTTTTCCAAAGCCACATAGATTTATGGTTGTGGATTAATAACAGAATAAACTGTTTTAATTTTATGAAATATTTTATTTTTAATTTTAATTATTCAGCAATTATAAAAAATTATATAATAACTAATTAAAAAGACAAAGAAGCAATAGCATATTTGTATAGTAAATCATATGCTGTTTTATTTCATCAATGTGCTGAACTGAAAGGGATTTGAGGATCAGGGAATTTGTAAAAAGTTGATCAGAAGAAATCATGGAATTTAAAACAAAAATTTGAGTAGGAATCCTGCATAAAGCATCATTCCAATAAATTTTCTATCAGTTTTAATCTGACAGTCCATTACTAGAAAATATAGGAAAAGTATAGTTTTTCATATACTGAGGGAGAAAAATTATTATATACTGCAAGTGTTTGAACTTCAAATATAAAGTGTGGCAGTTTTCATTTAATACAGTTGATTATTATAGGAAAAATTAAATTGAATTAATTTTCTGGATTTAAATACAATGATCTTTTAGAGAAAAAATTCCTAATTTTTTTATTGCCTAATCTTAATTTGATTTTACTATATATTTATACTCCATATTTTAAAAAATATATTCTGACCCCATTTCAATAATAGTCAATAATTACGATGTTTTGATTGGTTTAATAGTTTTTATAATGTTAGAAAAAATATTTCATCAAAATTTTTATTAGGAAAAATTAGAGGAGGAGGAAGAGGATGATGAAGATGAAGAGGAGGATGAAGATCTATCAAAGTATGACTTAAGTGGATGGGGAGATGATTCACCCAAAAAGAACGATAAGAATTCTGTTTCACATTCAAGATCATCTTCGTCGTCATCAGAATCACGTTCAAGATCTTCCAGCAGTGCTTCTACATCCTCTAATTCTGCCCGATCTCAGTCGTCCTCCCCGTCACGCTCCAGATCTCGTTCAGCCACACCTGTTCGTGGTCTGGCAAAAAGAATCAAGAGAACAAACTCCAGGTCCAGGTAACAGGGGAGGGTGGTAACGGTTAAAAGGTCAATATCATTTTATTTGATATCTTGCATCTTGTGCTTTTTTAATACGGTAGCATTTGTTCAAGCATAAAATTATTTATGAGAATTTTTTAACCGTTTCTTTCTTTAAGTATCTTTTTGCAATACTGTGTTATATTCAATATTCATTAAATCAATGCATTTTTGTACTTTTGTTGCCAGATCCAGTTCACATGATTCTAGATCCCGAAGCCGGCGCCGCAGATCTCAGTCCAGGAGCCGTTCCCCGATCAACCATCCTCGGTCCAGATCTAGGGATAGTGAAAGGTTTGCTGTGGGGAAAAGTTAAATTGGGATGGGTTCTATATTCATAACAATGATTTATTCACACCCATATATGATAAATCCTCATTTGTTAGCACAAACTTCTAAGAATTAGCAGTTAGTGTTGTTATTTTCCAAAATGTGTATAAAATATTTCATATAAACTATTCATAATTTGAAGTACCTGTTATCTGTAGTTTTTTTGAAACTGCTAGCAGAAATAAATAACTTGTTTCTAAATCAGTTTGTGCTAACAAAAATATATATTTTATTTATAAATAAATTATTTAACATTTTTTCTATGAAACAAATTATTTAATAATTTCATTATTCATCATGACTGGCACTTTCTTACGTCAGGTCAGTTTCAAAGTCACCTGAGTGTCGCAAATGATGAAGATCAACTCATTTAGCAGTTTATTGAGCTGTTGGTAATGATTTTCAAGAAATATTGAATATCTAAATTCTAATCTTGTTTGAATAATTTTTTTTAATGTTTCATGTAGCATTAAATTAATTATTAGCTGTATCACAAAATGAAAATATGTTCAAAATAAAATTTCTGGGCTTTCTTTTTCTGGACCAAATTCATCTCTACGTTTTGGTAATTCAATTACAAATGTGCTAAAAGCTCAGAATTATGTATTAAAATTATAAGATTTAGAGAAAAATTTATGCTGCCTATTAAACTTTTTTATAAAAATTACCATCTAGATGAAGAAACATATCATTACATGAATTGTTTTCATATGGTATTTGCAGTAATGAGGAAGTTCATACATGAGAGTTTCTACTTTGAATTTTAGGTTATCAATTGCTCAACCTCCATCAAATTAAATTGGACATGCATGTGGAATCAAATATGTATCCCAAATGAATAGCTGTAATTCATAATATATTTACAATTTTTAGATATTTTTTTATTACAGTGAGACAGGATAATAGATTTATGTAATGAATAAATACAGTAAAGAGAGGAAACCTTTTATCTCAGTTAAAATTTTTCTTTTAGTGTTTATATATATTTATATTTGGTTCATGTTGTCCAATTACCATGTGTACAATTAGTATACAACATTCATCTTTAAAGTATTTTAATTCATTACAAGAAGAAATGTTAACAACATGAGAAGTGGATGTATGCTTTGTAAAATTTGCAGCTTATTGTTATAATTCTTAATTGCATATTATGTAAATTTAATTTCTCAAATAAGAGAGTTTTTAGTTATTATTTAAAAATGGAGATGTTTCCTCATTGATGCTAACACTCATACGAGCTAATGAATGAAAAGTAACATTGTAATAATGCACAAATGTTATATCTTAGCAAAAACTTCACTTTAAATTGTAAAAACAAAGCTTTAACCTTTAGTTAGGCTATTCAAGTACTATAGTTCTGTCCTTTCACTATGGTACATCCACTAAAGGTTTGTTTAAAGCAATCACACTCAATCTTTCTGAAATGTACAGATTCTATAATTTGTCAAAATAAATGTGGTAATAGTCTTGTACTATAAATTGTCAATTAATAAAATCATTTATGTTGAAGTGTTTATTGGCTTATCAAAAATATAAACTACTTTATTTTTACATAATCAACCTTCTGAGAATGCTTGCAGTCCAGTAATGGCTCTTCCTAAGATCAAAGCATGAATGTCATGGGTTCCTTTAAAATATAAACATTAATTATGGTTGTATTACTAATAATGATGTACAATATGCTATAAATTACTTTACCTTCGTACGTATTAACAGCTTCCAAATTCATCATATGTCGAATTACGTGATATTCGTCACTAATGCCGTTTCCTCCTAAAATATCACGAGCTGTTCGTGCTATTTCTAAAGATTTACCACAGCAATTTCTTTTTAAAATGGAAACCATCTCTGGTGAAAACCTAAAAGAAATTGACATAATACTATTGTGAAAGTTTTATTATATAAATTTATTAAGTTCAGAACTATAAAAAATTAATTGAAATGGTTATTTAAAAAGATAATTTCAGTTAAACAGATGTAAATGTAATTAAGTAGAATAGCCATTACTTACTTTCCTTGATCTTTTAATCTTCCAACTTGAAGGCAAGCTTGAAATCCAAGTGCTATTTCTGTTAACATATCTGCCAATTTTTTCTGAATTAACTGAGTCTTTGCTAATGGTCTACCAAATTGTTTCCTAAACAGAAAATTAATTTTAGTTATACTTAAATACTTTTTGGTAATATTTAACTCACCTATCCAAAGCATATTGTCTTGCTGTTTCAAAGCAAAATTCTGCTGCACCAAGTGCTCCCCAAGAAAGACCATATCTTGCATTAGTAAGGCAACTAAATGGACCCTATAAAATTGTAAAATAAATCTGAATGAAAATGATAATAAGTTGTTATCTTCATCTAATATGTAAGAATCTGTAATTCCAAATGAGTTGATTTTTTCAATTGTTTATAATGTATAGCTGTAGAAATGTTAAGACTGGAAAAATGTTCTTTGTGAATAAGTCATATTAGATTAATAGAAATTAATGTTCATGGCCATTCTTCTTTGTGATGTCCATAATCATCAGAACAAATCGGTATTTTGGATGTCCATGCAAATGCATTAATTGTGATTGAATTATTTTCCTATCCAAATTGACAATTCATATTAAGTGGTGATAAAGATGTATTTTTATTTGTTACATTGAATATATCTAAAATCTATTTGCTGATTCTTACATTGATGCAAATCAGTCATTAGGGATTGTCCATTAATTTAATTACAAGTACAGTTTTTGAGTTATTCAAACTAACTAATTAAAAACATGTATTCTCTGACTTATAAAATCTCAAATATTTAAATATAAGCAATAAAAAAATGTAATTTAGCTTGAATGGCACAGATATTAAAATTATGATAAATATTCTTCATAGAAATGTAAGTTATAATCTGAAGATTTTATATAATGTTGAAGCATTAAAATTACAATAATAATTTTTGGAAAATCTGAAGCTTAGAACTTTCTTCAATGTTTTCTCATAGTAAATTTAGGATAATTGTAATTATCAAAATAAGACATCATTAGCGAGGTTGAGGCCAAAGTTTTAAACGCGAAAATGTGTATGTCGGACGTTCAGTGCCGTTTTCCTGTAAGTCTAGAAGTTTGACAACGGTGTTCGGATAGTCAGTGGAATCATGCTAGACATTCCAAACACCATTGTCAAACTTCTAGGCTTACAGGAATGCGGCGCTGAACGTCTGACATACACATTTTTGCATTTAAAACTTCGGCCTCAACCTCGCTATTAATTCCAGTCTTTATTATTAAATAAAATCATTTCGTCTTGTAAACAATCATTTGAAAGAGATTTTACGAATTCTTTTTAAAAAGTACACACTATCATTAAGTTTCTTATTTTCATTTATACTTTTTGAAGTAAAACAAAAAAAAAAAAAAAAAAAAAAAAAAAAAAAAAAAAAAAAAAAAAANAATTAAAAAAAACCAGCCTTTTAGAATTATGGTAGAACCTTGATTATCCGGATTGTTCAAAATAAACAAAAATTTTACGAATTTGCTGATTTGCACTTGGCGAATTACGATACTGTTTATATATGTGATGGAATGCATAACGTTTTTTGTTTCAACAACGTCTCATCTGGCACAGTGGCCGTAAACTCTTAAATATAACTTGACATATACATTTATAAATAATTTTATTTTCAAATTACACCATTTCTATGACCAAGGACGGCATAAGGCATGGGCAACGTGGGCCTCGTGTTTCGAAGATTTATGCACTATTTAAAAGCCGCAAACGCGATGAAAAAATTTTACTCATCATAAAACGATAAATAGTTTGACAAATTTTTATTCATAAAAATGCAGTTTCAACTGCTTTTTATTTTATAACATCTGTCTTCTTGCACCACCAGAGGACCTTTTAAACAATAGATAGTCTGTTAGCATTGGTCAGTAGTAGTCCAAATTCAATACGAACGTTTGTTTCTTGAAAATTTGATCACGATTTAAATACAGTATTTACTTTTAATATTACCGATATGTCATCGAAAATAAAACGTGTTGTATTATCATTAAAAGACAAATTAAAGTACTGTATTTGTTTCGATTATCTGAATTTTTCCTTATCCGGACTACCTTCATCCCCAATTAGTCTGGATAATCGAGGTTCTACTGTATATTACCCACTGAACTTTCTGTTCAAAGTATATTTAACCAATAGGTGCTTGTTTAAATACTTCATCATTGGAATATTGGAAGTAATTTCTTAAGCTATTACTATAAATGCAAGGAATGAGATGAGACTACCACTATTGTCATTCTGAATTTATCCAAGAATTCCAATAAAGGGTTTTTTAAATTTTTAATGCTTAGTAATTTGATCAAGTAATTGGCTTTAAATAAATTTATAATCAAAAAACAGAACAAGTAAAAAATATATAAACAAGACTAATTTTAGAAACACAAAAAAAGCTCTCTTGTTTACTTTTTACTAATGTTTTTCTACAGCATAATATAATTGATTCAGACTTTTATTTTAATGGTGGTTAAAAGTCTTTTGGTTACCTTGTTTCATAATAAAATGTTTAATATGTATATAAGTATAATAAGCATTTTTTATATTTCTTGCTTCTTCAATCGTTGTTTTGAAGTATACAAAGACTATGCTACTCTATGGTCAAGTTAATTTAACAGTTAAGGAAGATGTTAACATTAATCAATAATCACAAGTAATAGAAAAAATTCATGAAGAATTTTTAAAGCATTTTAGTGTGGCAAATAATTCCTGCAGATTATTTTTTAATATTAAATACAATTATAAAATATGACTAAATTAATTCTTCTTGATTACAATATAAATAATTTTGTTATATATTTTATATATTTTCAACTTACAGTGAGTTAACATACTTTCATGTTGATTGACTATGAAATGCACAAATAAATCCACATTCTTTTATTAATTTTTCACTAATTATTTTGTAGTTTAATTATTCAGAAAAGAGTCTTGTTTAATCACTGAAATTCAGAATTTGCTATTTCCTATGACCCTCAAAAATATTTATCATTTGTTTTTATCCCATTAAACTGTCAAAGCACATTTAAAAGATTATATGCTGTATTTTAATATAAAAAAAATGAAAACAAATAAATATACTATCACTTACCCACCTTAAGTCCTTCTATTTTAGGAAGAACATTTTTTTCTGGCACCACTACTTCATCCATTAGGACCATTCCTGTAGTAGAAGCACGAAGAGAACATTTTCCTTCAATTTTTGGAGCTGATAATCCTTTCATATTTTTCTTTAATATAAATCCACGTATTACATTATCATCACATTTGGCCCAAATAATAAAAATATCTGCAACTGGTGAATTTGTAATCCTATATTATAAGTATGGATATTAATTTTATTACAGATGATTATTAAAAATAGTATCTATGTACAATACTTTACCATGTTTTACTACCATTCAAAATATATACTTTGTCCTTTGAATCATATTTAGCTCTAGTTTCCATTCCACCTGGATCACTTCCATGATTAGGTTCAGTTAGACCAAAACATCCAATTATTTCGCCACTTGCTTTATACATAAAGTATTGTTCAAAAATATCAGAATTATGTCTTAATTTAAACATAAGTTTTTGGAAACTTACCTAATTTTGGTAAATATTTTTCTTTTTGTTCATCAGACCCAAATTCATTAATTGGATGCATCACAAGAGAAGATTGGACACTTAACACTGAACGATATCCACTATCCACTCTATCAAAGTATTACAGTAATTGTTAAAAAAAAATTTTTTTTAATCTAACATCAGTAAATATTTGAAAAACACAAAAGAATCAGGATTTTTATGTCACATTTTAAACCATGTACAAACTAGAGCATTTTTCTGTGAACATAACAGTGCTTTAAGCAAACCATTTCTTGATTTAGTGCTCTCTGATTAGGGCACCTTTTTCTGGTCAACTGAATTCCAAGTTCTAACAAATTTCTGTAACAACTAGGAAGTCAAAGGTAGAAGTGGGAAAGGAATGAAGTATTCTGAATGGTGGCACTAACACAGTGCCACTATTTGGAACACTTTTGATGGGTTCCTCCCATATTGTGGCTCAAACCAAACTTGAAAGAGAGCATTCCTTTCATATTTCTGAGTGAGACCACCAAGTAGATTCTGTAATGCTTGGGTGTTACAGTTCCCATACACACTATCATGCATGTTAGTGTTTGGCTCAGGACACTATAACATTACATAAAATGTTCTAGTCTGTATAAGGCCTTAGCATTTGATTTCAGTAGTAAGATCAGATGTTGTATTACAGTAGAACCTCGATTATCCGCCCTAATTGGGGACTGGGGTTGGTCGGATAATTGAAAAGTCGGATAACCGAAAAGTATGAAAAAATCCATTATTAGTGTAGTATATTCTTATATCCCATGTAATTAGTATATCGCTATTAACCTATTTTGCGTTGAATTTTCATCGATGTTAAGCCTAACAAAAATTTTTTAAAATAATAATCGTCGCTATTGTAGCGCCACATCACTAGCAGACATTTGCAATTTGCCGACTAGGACGGTTGGTTAACCGAGGGGTCGATTGATCGGGGGGCGGATAATCGAGGTTCTACTGTATTAACAATATTAACGAAGAAAAGGACATAAAACAGTTACACAGCAGGGATGTAACTAGAAATTTCTGAGTGTGGGTCACTGACATTGCTGATAGCTTAGGAGATTATGTAAAAATCACATTAGCCCCAAGATCACTATCAACATATTATTGTGCAGGAGCTGTCATGCTGATAAGGCAGCTCCTTGTATGTCATATGCAAATAAGTAATACGTATGACAATGCTCAATACAAACATATAAATAAATGGCAGAACAAATATTAAATTTTATTCTTCTTTACCTCATGGCTGATCATGTAGCCTAGTATTTGAGTCTGATGATCACTGGATGAAACAGAAAACACAACTGCTTTGTGACTTTTTTACATATTTACTTTTAACTTGTATGGGGAGTAGCAGTGGAACTGACAGAGAGTGAGGGGTGAAAGAGCATTAGTGTGTGAAATGCTGTTCCTTGCCACCATATGGTTACATCCCTCCATAGGCTCCTGATTATCCAAAGTAATATGAACTGATGCTACCTCAGATAACTGAAAACTTGTATAAAATGGATGGCCCTGGCCATTTTGAATTAAAAATTACAAATACAGTACACTCAGTAATCTGACTGATTTTTATATTTATACAGTATTGTGTTATAAGATACTGTACTATTTTTTCTTTAATATTGTGTTCCCTCTGTGTTCAGCTTGATATCTTCCCAGTTGATGTGGAAAGTGAATAACTTGGCAACAGCAATGCTCAAGGGTCAACAAACCAGCAAACAGCTGAATTACCAAGATTATACTGTATAACAGATTTACATGGTATTATTTTTAAGCCTTTAGTGAATTTAATCATATATAATAAATTATACAGCTAATATGTATTGTACAATAGTTTTAAGAATAAAAATGTATATTATTGAAGTTTCATTTTGATATCATTTGAAATTTTTTAAGAAAAATCTTTTAGAATCTTTGTTTTATAGCAGATTTTCTAAAATATTCTGCCATCACCTCAGCTTGTTTTTTTCATGGGAAGTCTGATTATCCCTAACCCAGGGGTGGCCAACAGTTTTTGCCCCAGGGCCGAATTGGAAAGAAAACTTTTTCATGGGCCGAACCAGAGGCTGCCCTAGGAAGATTTTGAGGTGGTGAGAGATTTCATTGTGGTGTCACCCCGTAGAGACTAAATTGTACATAGAGATTACAGATACATTTTTCACATTATCATACATTATCAACATTCTACGCTGTACTTAAGAGATTTGTAATGGAGGGTTAACTCTAAACGCACGGTGAGTTGTTGACCTTTTTTTGTTTTTAGGTGTCAGAATTTTTCATCGAGCTATCGGACTTGAGTAACTAATATTGAAAGATTAATCGCGGACCGCAAAAATTCATTAGATGGGCTGTATGTTGGCCATGCCTGCCCTAACCACTTAGCCACCGCCATTGTGGGCTGAATCAATGACGGGCATGGGAAAAACCTTCATAGTGCCCACAGTGCAGAAAGTGTTAAAAAAGTCACTTTGGCTCCAGTCACTCATTTGACATAATCAAGGTTAAAAGTATTACAACATTTATGCACTCAGTACATTTAATTCACAGCAAAGTTTTTATAAATTGAGGGGAGTGGTGGAAAAAACTGACATATCTCCCATTAGGAAGTTTTTGAGAAAAAGGAGGATTTGTTTAAAAGAAATCACCAGCATTTTAATATATAATGTTTTCTTAATGTGGATGTATAGTACCTGTGGAACATGAACCATGAAAGTTTCTTAGGAGATGGATCTATGATACACAAATCCAAATTTGTTAATAACTTGTTTTTTGTTGTTTTTCCTCCAAGTCTTTCAATTACAAAATAGTATTTTCACTTACAAGTTTGCATTGGATAATGCAGAACCTTGGTTAATTGCAGCTTGAATAATCAGGGTTCTACTGTAGTTCTAATCAACTTGAATTTTCATTAGAAAAGAAAGAAAATTATGAACAATCAATGTTTTAAATAATTTTTTTCCAAGGACAAGAATTTTAAATTGTATTCTAATAATTTGTTAGCATTCTTTGTAAGCTGAGATTGATCCTAGCATGGCCAGACATTACATAAAGAATTTCAATTTTCTGAATTTAAAAATATCTTGGCCAAGTTTAAAAACTGCAAAATATGTATGGAGAAATTTATCCCGATTTTTTCTGTATTTCAAAATGCATACTAGCATTATAATGTGATGTCATATACAGTGGAACCCCGGTTAACGAACGTCCTGGTTAACGACCAAATCAGTTAACGAACTTTTATTTTGCAAAAATTTTGTCTCAGATAACGAACATAACGGTATTTTGTGTTAAATTTTAGTTGGTGTTAGGCATGAGCGATTTAAGCATTGCTTTTCGGAGTGTTTGTGCTGTACTTCTTTTTTCAGTTTTGTGATTTATATATTTAATCAATATGGCATCCAAGAAAAAAAAAAAGTCATAATGGCAATAAAAAACAACAACGCAATATGAACGACAATGCTCTATCACATTTGAGAAAAATTTTGATTAAAAGAGTAAGACAATCAACTTCAGATCAATTTCTTGTTCCTTACGGAAAGAGTTTGTTTGTTTGTTAAGTTATGGCAATGCAACACTTGGGCGATCTGCCTAGGGGGAATGCCTTCTAGGAGGTGTTTTTAAGGGAAACTGGCCCCTATGTAGGCGTTACAGACCGGAGAAAACCCGGAAAACTCCACGTGGCCAGCCTGTCTGAGCAAAGTGCGAACCCACGAACGAACTCCACGTGTTTAGGGTACGAAGACCGCTTAGCCACTGGTGGGCTTTCTTACCGAAAGAGACTTCGACTCGAAGAATCTTCTGATGAAGAGCTACCCGTTATTTTTTGGAGGGGTTTTTCCTTTTAAGCATTAAGGTTGGTATATCTCCACTTTTCTGCCTCCAACTACAACAAACGAAGGTATGTACAGTGCTATTTTATTAAACAAAGTTTACATGTTTGTTGCTGTAATGATAGATACTACATTTTCCTACATTTTCATAAAAAAAAATGTACTGTATATTACAAATAAAATCACAAAAATTTCGGAGACTAGAACGGATTAATCGCATTTGCATTCATTTCTATGGGAAAAATTGCTTCGGTTAACGAACAATTCAGATAACTAACGGAGTCGCGGAACGGATTAAGTTCGTTAACCGGGGTTCCACTGTATTCATTTACAGATCAAATTTAATTTTTGCTTTATGCTAAAACATGTTGCATAAACATATGTTACAGTATTTATAAACTTGGTTAAAAAATAATCTTTCTTAACTAATATATTTTCAAAAACAAAGGAGACCAAATGATTACTTGACAAACTTTTATTTTAAACATGAAATAGTTATGTAAAATTAAATTTATATATAAGAGTCAAAAATCCTCAATCTTAGGCAGTTTTGAGAAAGGGAACCAATTTTAAGATCGACAATTTTTGACTAATACATATAGATATAAAATATTTTAGTCAGGTAGTCACTTGATTACCTTTCCATATAAGTTAATAATTTGAATTTATTATTAGTAAGTTAAAAATTACCTTTCAACTTCTCGTGCTATTAAGCCATAAGCAACTGACGATGTACCAGCACATCCATAACCTTTTATTGTTGGACCAAGAACACCTAAAGATCCCATTTCAGATACAATTTCTCTATCAAAATCTATAAGTGAAAATAACTTTTGAAGTATATCAACCATTTTCATATTAATGTAAATCTAAGCTTTCTAAAATTAAATATTTTGATTAAACAGTAAACTTAAGACAATATTTTAAATAGCAAAATACTTCTATTAAAACAATAAACATATTAAATAATATATATATATATATCAAATATAAATCATAGATTTTACCAACAAAAGTAAAAATATAAAAATGAAGACAGTCCTACATATATTAGAGCGAGAAAATTTTAAAATAACTTTAAACAAATTATCTGTAAACATAGTTGAGAGTTAATAATGTATAAAAGCTTACGTTCGTTTCTGTTAGCCATCAATACTCGAGGCATTAATTTTTCTTGACAATAATTGCGAACCTGATCCCGCATCATAATTTCATCATCAGTTAACATGCTTTCTAAATTTAGTGGATCTTTCCAATTGAATAAAACTATGAAAAAAACTTTAAATAAATAACACAATAATTAGCTTCAAAATACTTTTATTGCTAAGATATTTTTTCAGGAAAATTCTGCCAATTTAGTAAAAATTCACATAAATTTTGAATGATATTGCACTATAATAGAAGTAAATTATGAGTATGAAATACTTATTTTATTTATTGTTAAATATTTTATTAACATTATTAATAGTATTTATCTATGAACATTTTTAATTTTTCAAATTTAATCATTTATCAGTGTGGCTCAAAAGTCACTTTTTAAACTGTTTTAAAAACTGGCACATTTGTGAAATGAATTAAACTAAATTTATTAAAGTATTCTAATTTGTATATTGAACAAGGATTTCACTGAACAGTTTTTGTAAAGTTTGTAGATAGGAAAGCACAGTATTTAAATACAAGAACAATTTACATTTTATAATTGTTAATTGACTTTTGGACCAACTACATATTGAGAACTGATGATTTCAAAATTTGTTTTAATTTATAATTCAGCAGATTGCATCATCTGAAAACTCTAGTAATTAAGAATGTCCTCAGAAAATCATCATCAAACATGAAATAAATAAGTTGTGTTTAAAAAAAATTTGTTTGGATGCCTATTCAAAATCATTAAACAACTTATTTCAAATTCATACGAGAAAATGAAATTATACAAAATTAGATCATCAATAATAAATTTCCAACCAAAAACTATTAAATTTATGGTTCAATGAACTGATTAAAATAATAAATTTAGTTTATGTGATTAAGTATACAATTAAAATGATCCTTAATAAATTATCCACATTTGTTTTTATGAATTATATTGGTATCGGTTATTTTATTTTTTTCCCCCTTTGTGCCCTGAGAACGTTAAGAGGGTCTATTTTCAGGACCATTATAGTAGATTTGGCCAGGTGCACAAAGCAGCAGCTGAGTGGCAAGGGACGGAATCCAACAAAATCAGGACAGACACTGCAAAAAATTCCTTGGATTTTTAGACCCCTAGATTTAATTCTGAATACCCTAGAACAGTGTTTTTCAACCTTTTTGAATACGCAACCCCTTTACAAGTTAAAAAATTCTGGCGACCCCCCTAGGGCCATATTAAAACTATATCAATGATTTTAAAAAGTATGTATTTAATTTTCTTTCTGTTGAGACAAATTATTGTTGATTAAAATTAGAGTTTCAGAAGAATCAACAATAACTTAACACACGTAAATTATTAAACTTTCTTCAATTATAACATTGGGTTCAGGAAGCTGTTGACCTTTTTTTTTTTAGGATCAGAATTTTCAGCTTCTACTTTTTATTTCTTTTTGCAAGTCAGCTCAACACTTTTTCGGCTATCATTTTCTGGGGTGGGCCGTATCCACCCAGGCCCTCCCTGGCTACACCCATGGTTGAAACGTAAATATTGATAAAAAAACCAATTGTACTGTAAAATAAACAGGTACAACCTTATCGCTGAAATTGTAGTTTTTTTAATGTAGTGTAGGACCTACAAACATTTGTCTTTTTCTTTTACCCGCGACCCCCCGTGTAAGGCTTTGCGACCCCCAGGGGGGTCACGACCCACAGGTTGAAAAACACTGCCCTAGAATAGTAGAGTGATACTAACTGCTTAAGCCATCTGGCCAGCTATTAAGTTAGATCCAGATAGAAATATTTATCTCCTATAACCTATGTAATCAAATCTTCATAGATAATAATTTACATACCACCCCAAATCAAAAAACTAGGATAATTGCTACATTATAAATTTGGATGCTAAACAGTTTATTCTAGAAACTGTACAAATCTGTGTTTTCAATTTTAAACTTTCTAAAATAGAAAATTACCATCATTTTAAAAATATTACGGTTTATATGGTTTTTTTCAAGATGAAAAATTTTATCCTGCATAAAGATATTATGAAAATATGTGTATATTATATCAGAAATACATAAGAAAATAAACTTTATTGGCTTACTCATATAGTTACAATTAGAAAATAATTAAATAATCAGTATAATATAAAACAATTAACTGATATTTTTTAAATAGTGTGTTTCTGATAAAATAACACAATTAATTAAAAAATATAATAAATTTAAGACAACTTTCAGACGAAAAAAAGGTTTTTTAAGTAATGTAAACTGAACTTAGTTAAAATTTTCCATACCTTTTAACTTATGTTCATTCTTTCCTCTAACTTCTAAAATACTGTTAAGGTAAAAATCAAAATCACTTAATACTTAAAAAATCACTTTAATACTTCAAATTTCTATCATTACTGAAGTAAATTTACCGGAAAAGTAATTTTGTATGTATATAAATCAAAATTCATCATGAAACTGTATTTTGAGTTTAACAAGAAAACAAAAAAATTATCAATGTTACTATACAATACAAAAGTTACTAATAATTAAATATCTACATTACATAGATATTTTAAATAGTTATTCAGAATTCTATTTAATTTTTCACGTTAATGCATCCTAAACCGTATATCTAAATCAGTGATGAACAACCTTTAAGGCTGTGGGCTGCAAATGAATTTCTGATGGGTTGCATACATTTTTTTCTTAAAGAACTGTGGGCTTTAAGCCCGTTCAGTATGATGCCAAGTTCTAACATACCTCCATAATTGCCAATATACAGGATACTAAAATCTCAATCTAGCAGTATCCTCACCAATGGATCTATTCATAACTATTAAATAATAGTATCCTTCATAATCTCCAAATTACCAAATGTAGGATTTTGCAGTTGCAAAGGGCATCGTCATCATCAAATCATAGCTTTCAAACTCCCAAATCTCAAAGTCATTTATAGATTGCTGATTACTTTAAATAATTTTTATTGCACAGCATTCTTTGGTTTAGTGCCAATTTCAAAGACAGACAAATGGTGACACTAAATTTGATATTAAAATAATACACACTAATGATAACAATAAACTTTATATTATTAGTTTATATATTTTTAATCAACTTTAGTATGAATATCACAAATATAAGCTTAATTAGGATTGCATAATGACACTAGGCAGAAAACAGGAAAATGTTGCCAAAGTCCTAGAGGCTTCTTTTCGTGATCTTGTGAATTGCCCACGACTGATCTAAGTCTATTGATTTAAATAGACTTAAATTATAAAACAAGGAATTCTGTTGTATCTAAATTACCATATATCTGTGCAGATAAGACGAGGTATAAATTTTCATCGAAGTTTTATAGTTTTAGCATGTATCTATCCTATAAAAAGACCCCCAAATTATCAACAGCCTATGAATTTAGTTTAGATCAGCAATCATCATCTGGATAATAACATTGCAGCGTATACAGAATTATGTCCTATTTGTAATTTTTTGAAAGAACTTCAAATTTTATTTTCCTGCATCTGGCAGCACTGCCTTGCAATTGTTGCAAACATTTACACTGATTCAGGCATTCGGGTAATTCGGCACAAAAAATGTCATATGGGCTATTCTATTTTGTGGACATACCCTACTCTCTACCAGTAAATAATTATGGTTTGTCGGTTTTTTATAATGGTTTTAATTTATATAAATTTCAATCAATTTTTTTTTTGTATCTGTCCTATAAGACAACCCCGGATTTTGGGGGTCTTTTTTTATGATTCAACTATCATCTTATCTGTGCAGATATACGGTATGATCTATATTGTATTTTGTCAAACATATGTTTGTGTGTCAAAGATCATACAATTCACTGATAATATTTCATTTAGTCATAAAATTTTCGTATGCTCAAGCGAGACAGTTATCTTGTTTATTTATCCTCGACCAATTTAAAACCACGTCCTTGACTTCAAAACACATTCTACCTACCTAATCTATGGAAATATGTTTACGGAATTGAATACAAATATATAAACCCATTTATATAAACAGTATATAAATAGAACATATTGTACACAGAACATTGTTCATAATGTTTTAATATATAATAATACGGTACAATGGATATAAAATATTAAAACATTTTTTATCATCATCAGGATAAAAGTGAAAAATGATAAGTGTTGAATATCTTTCCATATAGAAATTATAAATTTATATTTACACTAAAGGGTTACATTTTAGTTTAGTTTTTTTTTTTACTAAATGTACAAAATTAAAATGATTAATACTTAAACATCAATTTAACCGTATAATCGATTAAAACTATCATATAAAAGAAAAATTATCATGGATTAGTTTTTAAAAAGGATATCAGAAGTTGTAAAATATTTCACAGCTTTGGAGAAGTTTGAACGTCGCAGCAAAGGAGATTTTAACATTTTATACAGCCTCATATTGTATAATTAAACGATCCTTACGACTTTCAAAACGATCGAACAAAATTGTTCCTATTTTTATTAGATAAACAACAATCGTTTAACACAGTTTAATATCAGTGTGACACATTTCCCAATCACTTCACCATCTTATCACATTTCTTTTTAAACTACCAGCGCCATCTGCTAAACTTTGATAATTTTTTAAAATTATCAGATTGAAAATAATTACCGACTGTAAATATTTAATAAAGTCGGTAGCTGAATATTTAAAAAACATAAATATTATTGATATAATGATGATGCTAATTCCAGTCAAATACAATATGAACCACAGCCTAGTCAAATGGAGGATATCCCATAGAACTCTTCTATGGGATAAAAATATTTTCTCCCGCTAGATGGAGCCACACAATGGACCATAACAACACTAAACAACACTAACCACTAACAACTTACCAATTTCGCTAAACATGACGTCACATAACTCTAAAGTAAACGCCAATGAGCGTAACGCTCGGGCAAAAGTATACAGGCTGAGCATGCTGACAGTAAAATCAGCTCAGAAGTGAACGCACCCTAAGTTATCCTAGCTACATGCTGTCATACGCTCGTAAAACAAAATAGTAATTCAGAGAGATTCAGAGAGAGGTCCGTTGCGTGTCGGCCCGGGTTGAATTTTTGTCGATGCGTAACGATAAGTTCCCGTTTTTGAAAAAAGTAATCGTGGCTATTGTATCGTCTGAAATTATTTTTTTATTTTACACAAACAATATACAGTTTAACCCGATTATAACGTCATCGGATGTAACGACAACCCTAATATAACGTCAAATTTTTATCGGTCCCATGATTTTACTATACTAGCGAGGTTGAGGCCGAAGTTTTAAACGCGAAAACGGTGTACGCCGGACGTTCAGTGTCGCTTTCCTGTAAGCCTAGAAGTTTGACAATGGTATTTGGAATGTCGAGCATAATTCCACTGACTATCCAAACATCGACGGTCGGATGGCCGAGCGGTCAAGGTGGCAGCCTACCGCTCTGGGGGATCCGGGTTCGAATAATCCCCAGAAATTTTTCGAAGGGTGGTCCGTCGGGATATGTCGGGCCCCGTCCCTCACCACCCGGTCGCCCCATTGTGAGGGACCGGGTGCCCACAGGGCGGAAAGAGTTAAAAAAAAAAAAAAGACTATCCAAACAGATCCAGAAGATATATTAGTGATTAGAGATGATGAATCAGATGCAGAAGATTTACAGGAAATCGAGAAAATTGTAAATGATGATTCGGAACGCAAAGGATGTGAAATCAAATTTAATTTTTTGTGAAATAACTTAAAAACGTAGGCGTTCACGCCAACACATTTACTTGAGGGAAAGAGATTAAGTCAACAAAAACGACAGAATACAAGCTTTTAACATAAAATTTGAAAAAAAAAACATTTTTAAAATGAAGTATTATCTACGCGCATACGCATAGAGATGTAGAAATGGAGACAAGCGATCAGTTATTATTATTTATACGTTTATATAGATATAAACAAACATCATCGCTATGCTATACTATACGTTATATTATATGCTATATACTATACTATATAGTTATTTGTTTACATTTATATAAACGTATAAATAATAATAACTGATCGCTTGTCTCCACTTCTATATTAAATTAAAAATTAAAAAAGCACTTTTCTTGACTTATTCCTTTTCTCTCAAAATTTTCCTCAAACTTATCTAATTTGGACGACTCATTTATATTAATGCTTCGGAATATCAAGACCTAAATTGACTAAAATCTGATAAAATTAAATAAATTATTTCCTGTTGTTTCTTGTATTTTTCGTTTTAAAATTATAATTATAATACAGTCGACCCCCTATAATACGGTAGATAGGTTCCCCTTTTTATGAATCCAGCTTCTAGGAGTCCAGCCAATCACAGCCCGGCACGTATGCAGTTTACGGACTACGGCTGTTTGAAAGGTTTCTTCCATAAAATTAATCGATTCTACACTAATTCGACTCAACATTTCCAAAATACATATACTGTACTTTTTGGGAATAATCCATATAAACTATGCTATAAACAAAAAAATTGTAGGATTACTTACCGAGTGTGCACCGTTCGACTACTCCGTTGCTTAAGCTTGTTTTCGTCGTGGAGATTGTCATCGAATGGCGCTCGCGTGCTTCCCGATAAATTATTTTTTTTGCGAAAAATTCGCTGAACTTTAGAGACATCATTAATATAGATATAATTTTTATGGACGTTAAATAATAAATGGTTTTTGGTAGGTCCGCTGCTCGTTTAAACTCAACGGTTTGTGCAATCCTGTCGCGACACGAGTTGGCGATGACGTTTTACCGAATTATAGGAGTTTTTTTTAGCATGTTTGTACGAATACTGCCGCAATTTTTTCGCCGTGATATAGGAATCCGAACTATAGGAACCCGTGTTATAGGGGGGTCGACTGTAAATGCAATTCGGATTGAATTGATGCAACACAACACAGGCGTTCTGCCAAGGGGGAATAATATGAAACTGGCTCCTTTAGGTGTTGGACACGTGAAGAAAACATGGAAAACTGTATGATGCCAACCCATTGGTCAGGCATAAAAGGTTTCTACAATAAACTACCAATGCTCAGTGGTGTTATCTACTTGTCATACATACCGTTAGGAATAATTTCACAATTCTGCTTCTCAATTCAAAACTTTGTAAAAAAGAAGGTACTTTTTGTCTGTATATAGCAGACAAAAGTACCTTCTTTTTTACAATTATTATTAATAATCACTTTTAAAAATGTGCAACAATTAAACTACAGTATTGGCAAATAAAGCGCCATTTCTCACCTTGTGGTAACTTTTAGCACCGATTATTTTTTACCAGTAAATCAACTCAATAAAAATATTACATTGCAATAATAAATTCTAAGTAATTTATGTAGAAAATAAACATTTTTCACAAGCAAAAAAATTGCAAAAGTTTTATTTATAACTGTAATAATTAAAAATTAAATATAAAAAAATTAATAAAATATAAAAGTAAAATTGAAAGAAATGCGTGGGATCAGTAAATGGAATAAAGTAGTTGAATGAAAGGTTGAAAGTTGTATAGTGGATGATATGTTTTTAATGGAGTAAAGCTTAATTTAATTTTTTAAAATTTAAAAATGACGTCAAACTGACAAAAATCTACAATACTCTGAGAAAATTACACTTTTTTTAAAAAAATATTTATTCGTATTATATGTATTTTTACATTATTATATACTGTAAAATTATATATTTTTAAATCAATATTTATAAATATAAATAGTAATAATTGTTAATTACGTATTTAAATTTATTTAGACATAAAAATTATTTTCAATTCTAATTTAAACAATTAGTACAGTGTTTAATTACTAATGGAAAATATGGAAATATATTCAAATTAATTATAATTGAAGGAAAGTTTGATTAAAATATATAATTGAAGAAACATGCAATTTATATATGTGGATAATTGATAAATAAGATGAACAGTTGGAGTTGAATTTCTACTGACAGAGACATAAAAGATAGACATTTTAAGCGATTTTTTTTAAAAGAAAATAAGCTTTAAAATTTTAAAAAATATATTAAATTATTGAAGAATTTACTATATATAATTCTTCAAATCCTCTTTGCGCCTCTTTACAATTTGCGTCTTTTTCTTACTATTATTATTTTTTAATTACATTTTTATCTACAAGCGCGCAGTAACATTTTAAAATATTTAAATAATTCCATTTTAATACAAAAAATTTTATATAAATCTGAAAACTTAAATGTAATGGTTGCAATTATTAGGGATGAAAACAAATATAGAATTCCGGGAAAGTGCAGCAACAATGCTTTTTATGTGATGTAAGAATTGAGAGAGCTTAGCCACCTTACAGCCACTTCTGTAGCTATGGTTCTAGCAGAGTTAAAAATGAAAAATAAAAATAAAAAAAACTATCATTAAATTAATTGTGACATCCTGGGGGAGATTAATCAGTTAAATTAATTGTAACACGTAATCAGAGCCGGCCCTACCATAGGGCGAACGGAGCAGCCGATCCAGGCGCTAAGTCCTATCGGACGCCTCAGTGGTAAAGAAAATTAAAGGGTATAAATTAGGAGCAACCAAGGGGGGCGCCATAATAGGATCTCGCTCCATCCTAAAACTTGCCACGGGCCGGCACTGCACGTAATGACGATGTGGAAAAAAACCCAGATCTCCACCTGGCATTTCTGTTTCTCTCTGAGAACAAGGCGATCGAATGTCTTCGAAACAACAACAAACCCTCCGTGTGTTTAGAGAAAGTTGCAAGATAAATCCAAACATCTAATTATTGATAAGGAAGAACGTTAAAATCGGTTAAATTATGAGGTAAGACGAGTCAGAACACTTGGCAAAAAGTATCAACAATCCGGCCGAGACGTCAATTGTTGACGGTCCTCACCGGCCAAACCGATGACATATCTCGACCTCAGACCACATTAAATCAAAATCACGTGATTCTACTCCCACGCTCAGGGAGGATAAAAGGGGCATGCACTCAAAGTTCGGGAAGGGCACAATTCGAAGAGCAGATCAAAGCTCTTGTCTACCTCTGAAGATTTACGACCGTCGAATAGACTGGATCCGAAGACAGCTAATTGTCCAAACGAAGTATTTTACTTAGACATTCATTGTAAACGCAGTCTCTCGGTCTATTAGCTATAAGTATCAATAGTTAGCGAGGTGATATATGTTACTTCCTTCATGTATATCGGAGGTAGTACCGGCAGTATGTATATAGACTTAGCATAGTAGCTATATTGTACTCGTATTTTAGCTTATGAAGCGACGAGTATGANAAAACTTAAATGTAATGGTTGCAATTATTAGGGATGAAAACAAATATAGAATTCCGGGAAAGTGCAGCAACAATGCTTTTTATGTGATGTAAGAATTGAGAGAGCTTAGCCACCTTACAGCCACTTCTGTAGCTATGGTTCTAGCAGAGTTAAAAATGAAAAATAAAAATAAAAAAAACTATCATTAAATTAATTGTGACATCCTGGGGGAGATTAATCAGTTAAATTAATTGTAACACGTAATCAGAGCCGGCCCTACCATAGGGCGAACGGAGCAGCCGATCCAGGCGCTAAGTCCTATCGGACGCCTCAGTGGTAAAGAAAATTAAAGGGTATAAATTAGGAGCAACCAAGGGGGGCGCCATAATAGGATCTCGCTCCATCCTAAAACTTGCCACGGGCCGGCACTGCACGTAATGACGATGTGGAAAAAAACCCAGATCTCCACCTGGCATTTCTGTTTCTCTCTGAGAACAAGGCGATCGAATGTCTTCGAAACAACAACAAACCCTCCGTGTGTTTAGAGAAAGTTGCAAGATAAATCCAAACATCTAATTATTGATAAGGAAGAACGTTAAAATCGGTTAAATTATGAGGTAAGACGAGTCAGAACACTTGGCAAAAAGTATCAACAATCCGGCCGAGACGTCAATTGTTGACGGTCCTCACCGGCCAAACCGATGACATATCTCGACCTCAGACCACATTAAATCAAAATCACGTGATTCTACTCCCACGCTCAGGGAGGATAAAAGGGGCATGCACTCAAAGTTCGGGAAGGGCACAATTCGAAGAGCAGATCAAAGCTCTTGTCTACCTCTGAAGATTTACGACCGTCGAATAGACTGGATCCGAAGACAGCTAATTGTCCAAACGAAGTATTTTACTTAGACATTCATTGTAAACGCAGTCTCTCGGTCTATTAGCTATAAGTATCAATAGTTAGCGAGGTGATATATGTTACTTCCTTCATGTATATCGGAGGTAGTACCGGCAGTATGTATATAGACTTAGCATAGTAGCTATATTGTACTCGTATTTTAGCTTATGAAGCGACGAGTATGATCGCGAGTTAAGAAGCGTAAATTTATCTTAACTGGTGCCAGACCTGACAGGAGAGTGAAATTACACGATTTCCCCACCTCCGACCATCAACAAAGGAGCAAGCCATCCAGTGACAACTGAACGGGCATAATTGTCCCGAAGCCGATCAAAAGGGTTGACAGTAACGACCCGTATAACCCTACTTCTCACATAATTATTCAATTACGTACAAAAGAATAAGAATTAAATAAAATATTTTAAACATTTAATAATGTTAAAAAAAGTTTAATTTACTAAAAATATTTCTTACACACGTATTTGATAAGACTGTATTAATTCTTTGTTGTAATAACTATGATTAAAATATTTAACAAAATTAACATTATTTAAATTTTTTTGCATATGTCTTAAATCATTCCATTACAAACTTGACAAATATTTGCAGAATACAGTATATATAAATGATGTGATAAGATATAAAGACAATGTCAATATTAAATGGAAGAAAAAATAAATAAATAACCATTTAATTCCCTTTCAAGAAAAAAATAAATATGGAAAATGAAATATTTTTTTCAATTTTTTCTTAATTTTAGACAGAACATCCATAAAAATTTAAATATTTATTTATGAACATATTTTGCATGTAATGATTAAACATAAAAATATACATTCTAATTAATTTTATGTCATTTTATAATGCAGTGCTGCAAAAAAACATACATTTAGGTTTTCAAACATTGGAAATGCAAAACTTTTATTAACTGCAAATAAAAAATATAATAATACTATCAACTTTAACAATTTTGATGTGTTTTATAAATCATCAAATACCAAGAAAAAAGAGAGATTAAAATGCAATTGCATTCAAAATTATTTATAAATGAAAATATTTTATTACAGGAAATCATTATAAATACATTAAATTTATCACAGTATTTTAGGTTTTACTGTTTTTCAAAATCTAAATTTTTTCAAAGTAATGTTTTTGGTGTTGTTTTTATATTAATACTTGAGGATTTAGAATCAATAGTTTTATTTGCTGTGACAGAAGTAGTCACAGTAAATAAACTGTCTGAATTAACAGAATTATTTCCAATAGTTAATTGCTTTTTCTTAGTTTTATTATTTACTGTATTATTATTAACTGTAATGTTGTTAATGACACGAAGAGCTTCAGGTTTGAGTGGATTTTGACTAGACTTGTCACTTTGTGCTATTTTCTCAGTAAAATCTGCCATGGCCTTAGTGGTGACAGATGATGGTTGTATATTCTTCTCATTGGTAATTGGATGAAAAAAATAAACCTAAAATATTCAATAATTAAAATACAATTTAAATATTTATAAATGTTAATTGAAATATAATGTAATTGTAATAGACACACAAAAAATTTCTATACGGACCATTTATTTTAAAAGTGATGTAAGTCCATTTTTTCTTCTTTCAAAATATTTAAAGGTTTACATTTTAGTCTATTCAAAAATATAAATAAAGTGTACTAAGTTTGGCAATCTTTCTATGACTTTATGTATTTCTAAAGACTTCTATGTGAATTTAACTAAACCAATATATTCTTCTGGGTCATAAATGAACTTACACAACTTTCATAATTATTGAACTTTAAAAGTCATTAAATTTCAATTATGTAAAATTCAATTTCACTTGAAATACATTGTGTTTTATTCTGATTTTGTTTGTAATAATAAGAAATAAAATAGTGTTGTTTATTCTCAGCATTAAAAATATTTACTAATTATTGAACTATTTTATGATAAGTTTATCATTATTATGAACTTATCATTAGACACTGCTTTTCATTTAGCCTCATGTGCATTTTTTTATTCCAATTGTTTCCAAAATGCCTCTGGTGAATAAAATACTAATGAAATCTAAAGCAGATATTTAAGTAAAAGTAAAATTTCACAATGATTAAAAGGTTATAAAAAATTCAGAGATTATTAAGGTAATTTATTTTTTGTTTGTAGGAAAAAATAAATCAGTTTTGCTTAGATGTAAATTTAGTTACAATATTTAGCTAAACATAGTTTTCTATTTCTTTTTTGCTATTTGTAAGAGTACTTCTTTAGTTAAGTGTTTTTTTGTTTTTGAAAGAAATGACTTTAGTTCCTCCTGACCAAAATTTGCCTGGCATTGTGACAATAGCCACAATGCCAGGCTGCAACTTTTTGTCACAATGTTCTAAATTCTTTTAGTAGTAGTCTTGCCCCTGTACATCATATGTTTCCTGTAAACAATAGAGTTGTGTTGGTCAGCCCTTTGTTCGGGGGAAAATTTTTAATTTGAAGTAATGAGACTTCCATTCCAAACCAAAAGTTTGTATATAGTTAATCTGGACCTCCTGTCCCTAAGCATTTCACATCTGGTCTCTACTTTCAATTATCCTTTCTCAAGATAGGGGCAGACAGATGAACATCAGGCAGAACACAGTCTGAATTTGTAGGTCTATAATTTTTTCAAATTGCAACCCAATAATTTTTCTATAAATGCAATTTTTACAAGAACATACTTCCCACGTGGTTTATGCAATCTGTTGCCAAATATTAAACACTGTTATCATATAAAAGCAATTATTCTCACATTTTGACAAGATTTTTTTCTATTTAAACAAGTCACATGATGACTTTAGGACATTAAGGTTAGCAACTTCGATCATAAGTGGGCCATCATAACCTGTCAAACATGGATCACTTTTCAAATATTAATAGTAGATTTGCATTAATTAGTAGTCATTGACTATCCTCTCTTCCAGGAGAAGGTCAACAACTTATTTTGGTTGAATTACTTCAAATCCATTCCATAACAGTCCCTTCGTTCTATCAGAACAGTGGTAAGGTGACATTTGACTAGGAAAATTACATAATATGAAGTTACCAGCCAGCACAAAATATCATTTAAGTGGTTTTTGAGGGCACGAGTTTAAATATTTGGTCTGTTTTTTTTTTTTTTTTTTTTTTTTTGTGAAATTTGGTTCATTAGAAGATTATCATTTGATATTAGGCTGTAAATGGTACACTTTCTTAGAGTTAACATTAGGAAAAAATATAACATCTTAAATTTTTTAAAATTTCATATTTTCAATTAGTGTCTACTTGACCAATGAAATTGTGCCATTTCTTACCATCTGAGTATCATGATAAATGTGACAATGGTAGGCTAAAATAGCCAAACTCTTTATATGGTTTTCATTTTAATGTTTGTTATATTGTAGTATTTGATTTATGTAACTAAAAAGGTTATCTTACATAAGGGTTTATCACACCCAGTAACCAATCTAACACATTTTAAAAATTCTTTATTCCTCTTCTGTACACAATTTAAAGAATTTTTAAAATATAGATTTTAATTTAGATTGGGCACTCAGTGTGATACAAACTTTGTAAATATAAATCAAATACTATAATATAATATAATAGATGGGTTAAGAGTACAAAATAATCTAATAATATTAATCTTTGCTGTTGTTATTTTTTGCCTGAGCAACACTAGGCTCATCAGCTAATAATTTATATATGTAGTAGATAATCTTAGCATTATATTTCTTGCATTCTAAGATGCAACTTTTTCCCAATTTTTACTCATCTGAAATAGAGTTATATTTTATAACTAATAATATCTTACATTCGTAGTCCAAAATTACAACCAGCAGTTACTGTCAGTAAACCGGGTGGTGCATCAGTAACAATGTTTTCAAATAAATTGCTCAATATTCACATGAGTTCAAATAAACTTTGCTGGTAAGGAATGTTTAACTCTCCTTAATGTCAAAAATGTCTTCAAGAAGACATAACTGCATCAAGAGAATGTGGAAACAACTGATAAACATTACCTGTTTAATGGAATTTACTTTTTTTAAACCAGTTGTTACTTAATAAAAACTAAAAGAATTTCCCCCATATAAAAAAAATCTTAAAATTCAATTCATAATGCATCTTAAAATAAAATACATTATTTTATTTTAGATTTTTTAAAAATCTGTTTTTTTATTTTATATATTCTAATTATAATTTATAAATAATTTATAGTTACTTGAATTACTAAAAGATGATCATAAAAATATTATTTTAATAATTTAATAAAAAAGCTAGAGCTGGTATTTTTTCTTAATAAGTAAATCTTTATAATTATTTATTTATTGCCTATAAATTTCTTATGATATCTATTTTTGACTTGACATTAAATGTAGCATAAATGTATATTAATACTTACAGAAAATCCAAATGCAAGTAGTAAATGAAATAACAACATGAAAATCAATATAACTCCTGCAACCTAAAAGTAGAATAAATTTTTTAATACTGTAGAAGTAAAACAGATAATATTAATTTTTAAGTATCATTATAATTTTTCAAAAATAATTTTAATTATTTAACGTAAGATACTTATTTAAATTAAAACTTAAACTTAAACTTAAAAGGTTGATAAACAAAAAAATAACTACCTTTTTTCTTGTTTCTTGGACTGCAGGATAAAATGTTAATATTAACACAGATGACGATAATATAAATCCAATAAGTATAATGATGAAATGAAACCAAAAAGATTTAATTAACCATAATATCTGAAAAAGAAAAATATAAATAAATCATTATTATTTGAATAAAATTTATATTTTAACTTATAAATTAATCATTTAATATATTTATTATTTTTATTTTAAATAAGTAGCTAAATAATAGCTGTTTTAAAAATATCACAATTTTTTTTTATATTAATTTAAGTATAGTAAAATTCTGTTAACCCAGTATCTGGTATGCTGGTATGTCTAGCTCGTCATTGGACGGTTATTGGTGCATTTGGTAAGGGTAAATCCAGAGTTAAGATTTTCATATAAAAGTGTTCAAAACATGTAGTTCTTAGNTTTTTTTTATATTAATTTAAGTATAGTAAAATTCTGTTAACCCAGTATCTGGTATGCTGGTATGTCTAGCTCGTCATTGGACGGTTATTGGTGCATTTGGTAAGGGTAAATCCAGAGTTAAGATTTTCATATAAAAGTGTTCAAAACATGTAGTTCTTAGAAAGGAATGTGAGTTTTCCTTTTAGAGATGACAAATGCCAAGATGACATGATGCTGTGCTAGGTAAAACCAGTTAGCTTATGCATGATGTTTTTTTAAAGACTTTTCCAAAGATTAGAGCACAGGTTTGATATGAGAAGCAGAAATATTTAGCATATTTAAAATCAATAATTATCACACAAGCAGCTACAGTACATCACTGTTCATATATTTTGATAATTAGCACATGTCTGTATTTATATGCAATAAAAGTATACAAAGCACAAAGAATAGTGTGTTCTTGTTTCAAGCAAATGAAGGGTAGGAATAGTTTGAAAAAATCGAAATGACATATTAAACAATCATAAAAGGTGGTTTTTTTACAGTTTTGCACACGAAGATATGTAAAATTGCATCCAAGGATTGAAAAAACTGGAAAAACTTCCATTGTCCGATAAGGCAGCATATTCGATAACCCTGAACCACATCAGTCTCGACAATGCTGGGTTAACAAAATGTCACTGTACAATAAAATGTTCTTATAATGAACATAAGTGTAAAGAAATTATCAGTATAACAAATTCATTTTTAATATCCTGCCAATTTACTATGCATAATAACATAAAAATGTTTTAGTTAAATATACTGTGGGTGATCAGTTAACGAACAGATCAGACTGCAAACAAATCAGACAACAAACACTTTCACAAAAGATTTTTATGTTTGGTTAATAAACACATGTTTGAATAATAAACACCTCACAGAACAAGCACAAGAAGAAGTGACATAAAATAGTGAATACCAATTGGTTTTCCCTTGTCCCTAGGTGACAATTTGAAACCTTTCGGAGCTCAGGAGACATCGACATCTACACTCAACCCGATACCAATCAGATGGTATTCCTCTGAACTTTGAAACTCTCCATTGTAATTCTAGCTTTTTGTTTACCTTTCTGACAAAGAATTTTTTTATAGTCTTCACAGGTGGGCACTCATTAAGTTTGGTGTCAGTTTTTGTTTTCGAAAGGCAATAGTATAACTGTCCCACCGGATATTCATTAACATTTTAATGCTAAATTTCAAATTTCATCTGGGTCTCACATTTACATAATTTTGTAAACTAGTTGATTTCCGTTCTCTGAATTTTTGTAAGTGCTTTTCTGAACTTTTTATTTAAAAAAGAAACTGATAATATTATGGAGCCTAAATAGAGTGGAGTTTCAAGAACTGTGCTCACCATAGAAACGAAGCAAGAGATAATAACAAAGGTAGAGAGTGGACAGAAGATGTCTGATGTTGCTAGGCAGTATGGCTTGAACAGATCTACAGTAAGCACAATCTTATCTAAGAAAAATATAATCAAGAAGACTCAAGCAGCTAAAGAAGTAATGAAAATCACATCTGAGAAACAAAGATGTGCCATCCATGAAAAAATGAAGAGATTGCTTTTAATTTGGATAATAGAAAGGGAAATGAAAAAAGATGTAACTAGTACGACTATCATTCAAGAGGAAGATAGAGAAATTTTTGGAGAACTGAAGAAACAAACTCTGCATTCGTCACATGAGGAGAAAGAATTCAAGATGTTTTGAAGCATGCCAGTTCTCCTCAACGATGACATTAAAAACGTTTTGGAAAGAAAAATTTGATATTCTTGAAGTTATACAGCTCATTCAAAAGGCGTGGTCAGAAGTCACTCAACAACAGTTAAATTCTGCTTGGTGAAAGCTGTGTCCCTCCTGCATTCAGGGAGGTGGAGTACTTGATTGAAGATGTACTTGAAATTACGGATGAAATTGTAACAACTGCTAGAGATCTGGAATTGGAGGTGAATGAAGATGACATTGAAGAGCTCATAATGGAACCTGAAACTGATCTGACAACAGAAGAACTCCAAGAACTTGTGTTTTCTTCTGAAAAAGAGGAAGACAAAAGAGGATCAATGCAAACATCTGCTATTAAAAATCTTTTGAAGTGGGAGGATGTCAGAACAATGGTCTTAAATGGCATTCAAACCAGGTTGAGGTTNAAAGACTCATGCAGATAAAGGAATAACAAAAATCACATCTGAGAAACAAAGATGTATCCACAAAAAATGGAGAGATTGCTTTTAATTTGTTATTATATATAAATAAACATAGTAAAAAAGTATATAATTTTTTATTTCTTTTTTGGGGTCTCCAGAATGAATTAATCAAATTCCCATAAAAATCTATGGTAAATCAATAATCGGTTAACGAATAATTCAGGTAACAAACACAGTCTTGGAACAGATGATTATGTTCATTAACTGATCACCCACTGTATATCAATGTAATGAGAATTTTAGGAAAGCGATCATTATAACAAAATCTGTAAATGTATAAATTTAGTCATCTTTTGTTATGAATAATGTTTTGTTTATCCAGCAATGCAAATTTTAGTCATAACTGTCAGTTTAAGTTGTATATTGTCATTACTGTACAGTTATTCACAATGATAATTTACTTATACTGTAGATCAGCACTGTCCAACTTATCATAGCCCGCGGGCCATATTTTCTTCACCAAACATTTCGGGGGCCAAGAAGGTTGCAGCTGTATTCAGCCAGGTTAAGTGAAGTTATGCAAACTAAATATACTTATGCAAAACTACTTTAAATTCAAATTAGATTTAAATTTTCACATAGTAAAATAATTTTAATATTAATAATAATAATTTAGTAACAAATTTATTCATAGTAAAATGTACTTGGGGGCCGTAAAAATTATTTGGCAGGCCGCCAGTTGGACAGCCCTGCTGTAGATTGTACAAAATAAAGACTAAATTAACTCTTTAAATGCAGTCAACATAACATAAAGGCCATGTCATTTTCTGATAAAATAAAAAATGTGCCAGATAGCATAATGGAATGCTATAACATAATTCAGGAATTTAAAGATATTTTGATTACACATACAATAATAGCATTTTTTCGTTATTATAGTATTGAAATTATAGCATTTTTTCATTCTTAAACAATGGCTATTCTGGAAAGGATGATGTAATTATCAGGCCACTGCTATTATTCAGCTGCTTTTTCAAACTAGTGCTGACAATAAACTTTTATAAAAATTTTTCAAAATAGACAATTCTTTAAAAGTGTCTTCTCATTTTGTCCTTTTGCACATTTCAGGAAATAACAGTCTCCCTCTAAGTACATGTAAAGATGAGTAGTCTCTAAGATCAACTTACCCATAAACCGTTATTTCTTGAGGCATGCAAAATGACAAAAGGAGAAGACACTTCACTTTTAAAATATTGTCTATTTTATAAAAATTTTATTGTACTGACCATTTTATCAAATAAATGTTTAGTTACAAATATTGATGACAAATGGTCAATGCAGCAAATGCACCAGTCTGCTAATCTGGGTATTAGATTCCAGTATGGATCTGCTGAGAATTTTTCAAGGGTAAATTGACCTAGATGTTAGCCCTGATTGAACCATGATAGGAATAATTAGTCCTCTTTGGTAAGATTACTTGGATAATAAGGTGTAAATTTTTCATTACTTAATAACTTTTTCAACATTCTGGCATTTTGATTGTATTTCAGTATAATGAAATTTCCTTAAACAAATATTGATATATAATCAACTCTTATTATTTCATTATATTAACATTTTACAGTATATATTTTATAAACTTACAGCAATTGGAATGTATATGGCAAGTGAATAACCATATGTACTGATGACTTCTAGCAGACCATATTCTGAAGAATTAAAATACCATAACATTCCCCACACAGCAAGAGGAATCAAGAAAATATAAGAATATAATGTTGTTGCAGTAAATGATACTGGAAAAAAAATCATTGTTAATTTTTACAATAAAATATAATAATTTATTTATATTAAAAAAGAAATATAAATTTTAGTAAATTGTTGTGTTCTGTTTTTTCCAAACTCAAATCTTCTACATTAAAGTTAATTTACATTGCATACACATACACATATAGAACTAATAAATATATAGTGTAATTCACTAGTAGCATTCGATAGTTTTTTCCTCTCAAAAGCATTAGAGATAGGAAAATAGGACTAAAAACCAAGTTTATAGAGCAGAAGAGTGACAACTTTTGGTGACCACACATGATCCTGAAAATCAACAGTTTTTGAGATACAGAACTAAATAGGATTTTTTTTTTTTAATTATAAAGGGCACTTTTGAGCCAGTATATAAATAATATGTGACAAAATAAACACCTTTTATGATAGGTCACATTTTCTTAAATCTAATGGTTTATCAGACAATTTCTGCTAAAAATCTGATTTCTCTTTCTCCTAAAATTTTCTATGCTGGAAACTAAGTTTATCAGTTTAATTATGAAAAAGCTTTAAATGACACAAACATGATAGTAATGAAAGTACATTTCAAAATTTATTTCAATTAGAATGTCTACCTTTTTGCATATACAGACATTTATTCTTCTAGAAAAAAGTATTTAATGCATTTTGTAATTCGAATATACTAATCTTACAAAAATTTTCCAAAATTCTGATTTTCATATTTTTAGTAGGATGCTAAAAGTAAACCATTTCCTTAATTCATCCCCATAAAAAGTGGCATAAACATTTGCAGCCTATTCTTTTGAATTTGGTCTCATGCACATAAAGCCATCAGTGTATCAAATGCTTTGTTACTTGAACTCAGTTTCATGAAAACAGAGAAAACAAATACATAAAAATGAAAAGATCACTCCAAAAACAGCACTCCTTCATGCCTTTGAAAAAGTAATAATTCAATTTATTCCAAGCCTGCTTGTTCAATACTTAATATGTTAAAATAAAAATTGTTAAACAGTTTCCAGCAGAGAAATTTTTGGGAAAAAGAGAAATCAGATTTTTAGCAGAAACTGGCCAATATCTTGAAAACTTAGGTTTAAGAAAATTTGACTTATTACAAAAGACATTTATTTTGTCACATATCCATATAATAGCTCAAAAGTATCCCTTATAATTAAAAACAAATAATAATAACCTTATTTTGTTCTGTATCTCAAAAATTACTGATTTTCAAGGTCATATAAGATCACCAAAAGTTTCTTCATCTGCTCTATAAAGTTGTTATTAGTTCCATCATCTTATTTCTAACAGTTTTGAGAAAAAAAGTACTGAATGCCACAATATCATTCTACAAAAACATGTTTCATGTTTATTCATTTTAAACATACAATTATGAAGTAGAGAAGGAATTGAAGAATGATATTTATATATTTACCATTTTTCTTCATATAATTCAATTTTATATTTATAGATTTGTTTAGCTTAAAAAAAACGAGTAGGCTATTCTAGTATAATATTTAAAATATAAATTTAATTTGGTAGTAACTAGATTATCAAACTGAATATATATATATATTTTTTATTACTCTTTCCATCCGGTGGGCACTAAGAGGGCCTTTATAGAAAACTGATTATGGGTTCAGCCAGGGGCCAGGGCACAATGGAGCAACTGGGTGGTGAGGGACGGGCCCGACATATCCAAACAGACCACCCCCCGAAAAATTCCTGGGAATTTCTTGACCCATCCGGATTTGATCACGGGTCCCCCAGAACAGTAGGATGCCACCTTGACTGCTTGGCCATCCAGCCGTCTAAAACGGAATATTAATAGACTAATACTACTGATTACAAGAATTATTTCCAATTAGAATCTGAAAATTTTACCTTTACGATAATCATAATACATGTCTGCAGACTTCAATCTTCCAACTGAATGTAAATAATCTGCCATGTTACTACTGATTGCAAGTGTAAATATAAGAGTTGCAGAAATCCATATTGGACCTAATATGAAAAAATATAATTTAAAAAAAATCAATGCATGCAACACACACATAATTTACAGAAAATAATTTTTAAAATTAAAATCTAAAATTAATGATAATTTTTTTTAGTACATGAAAGAGAAAGAAAAAGGATGAACACTTTTCTTAAATTAATTATCTATTTAAAATTTATAATTATGTAACTTTATATGATTAGTGAAAATACCATATAATAGCAAGCAAAGTTCTAGACTTCAAAAATTTTAATAAATCTTTATGAATGTTTTATTTTAATTTTTAGCATATTAGGATTAATATAAGAATATTAATATTCTTTGACATATACTATGAAACAGATGCAAAGAATTCAAAGATACCATGAAATTTAAAGTAGAGATAGTGTTACATGTTTTATATTATTCCAGTAATTACTTTTCAAGGGTACAAGTTTGGTAATTGAATTAATTTTGATATAAAATGTTAGATAAAATAATTGTATTAATTATAAAAAATTATTAAATCAGTATCTTAGTAGTAACCTGCATAAAATTAATATTTTCTCTAATCAAAAACTTATTTTATAGTCTTCTTTTTATTTAGATTTTATACTTCAAATATGAGTACAGTTTATTAAAGTACTGTACTCAATATTTAATTTTAAGTCTGAACTAAAATTAAAGCTACATGAATTAAGAATAAATCAAAATATATAAATTCATTCAATTAAAACTTTAAAAATGCATACCATATAAATCAGGATTTGGCCGAATTAAACGATGAATATAAGTTGCTCTTCCAGGTCTTGGTATAAATGACCATATAATTCTCTGTATTACTTCATTGGTATCCACATTGAATAAATTTTGGTAATATTTAATATCCCAGAAGGAAGGTTTTGCTTCTGGTTTTTCAGAAGATAACAGCTATTTAAATAAAATATTCTATTATTACAGTGGTAAAGCTTTAGAATTACTTATAAACTATTATTATGCTTAACTTGAATAATTTAGAACAATATCATCATAAAAACTTATAATCTAATCAAAATATCTTTCAAAAACTAGAAAATACGTTATTTTAAATCTATCCAAAATCTAGTCTTGATTCATCTTAATTGTTTCTACCATGCAATACAAACTAGATGCAAAATTATGCTAAGAAAATTTTTATAAGTTTTCCCATAATAAATGTCAAATTAATAATATGTCAAATTCTAATAAAGTAAAACCTGTATAACGGGAATCACTTAGTACCAAATTATTTTTACATTTTAACAGGTTTTAGTATATTTTATTTTTAAACTATACCAGATAAACGTAACACAGTTATGTTAATTTTTTTAATAGTAAAATCATGTTTGCACATGTAAAAAAATTACTACTACGCTTCATCCAAATTAATCCAATGTAATTCCAACTAAAGATGGGTGTATATGAATATAAGAATTAAGAACTGATGCAAAAAGCTAAATATTGAATTATAAGTCTTCAGTATTTTATAATGTGGTTTTTGAATTACAAGTTATAGTATACAATTAATAGCAAGGTTGAGGTCAAGTTTTAAATGGAAAATGTGTACGTCGAATGTTCAGCGCTGCTTTCCTGTAAGCCTAGAATGGTGTTTGGATAGTCAGCGGAATCATCTGGACATTCCAAACGCCATTGTCAAACTTCTAGGCTTACAGGAAAGTGGTGCTGAACATCCAACATACACATTTTCGTGTTTAAATCTTTGACCTCAAAATCACTAATAAGATGGATAATTTAAATAAATAATTATTATATCAATAGAGTCCACACTTATCTTAATGTATTTAAAATAAAAATGACATTTAATACAAAGAAAATAGACACTTCAATGTTCAATATGGTAAGAAAATAGAATTTATTTTTGTGAAAATATTCTCATTTGAATTTCAACAATATCTACATATGATGGTAATTTTAAAAAATGTTCACAATCAAAGTTAAATCAACCAAAAATAATAGTAAAAAAAAATATACCCTTTCCTGCTCCTCTTCATTTACTATTTCAGGAACATCAGAATAACCAGGAAAAGAATCTGGAAAAGCAAGAATAATTACATTTAAAAATAATACTAAATTACAAAAATATAAATTCCAAATTAAATATTAATTAAAAAATTAATCTTTGAAGTATTACTTTTTACATATAAATCAATCTTTTTTTGTTATCATTTATTTTTATTTTTAAAATTTCGCTGGATGATAAATATTTATTTTATATTTTTTTAAATAAAAAGATAGTCATTTCCAAAAAAAAAATTTTTTTTGGTCAATCACCATTTAATTCCTTAAAATGTTTCAGAGTAAACTTTGGGCAACCCAACCTTTCCTTGTAGGCTACATGGCCGCACATGAAACTATTACTTAAAATACAGAAATAATCCAATTTAAAAATATATAACAATTTGTAAAAAATTGGAATTGGTGACCTTTTGACATCTTCAGTTTTCATCCTTCTCCATTTGGGAGTTTCGGATCTTAAGATCCACTTTGAAAATTTGCGCTGTTAAATGTAGATTATCCTTATTCTCCCTCTGGCGGCGAATTATTACAAAATTTTTTAAATTTAANCAGAAAGGTATCTGTATTATTTTTTCATTGTAATATATTATAATTTTTCCCATTTAAAATAATGAGAAATAAACTCCCAGTTAACATTTTCACAATTATCCTTATTCTCCCTCTGGCGGCGAATTATTACAAAATTTTTTAAATTTAAAATTTCGCTGGATGATAAATATTTTTTTTTAATAAAAAGTCATTTCCAAAAAAATCATTTATCGGTTATCATTTATATTACATTATTGTTTTGTTTATCATACTCAGATTGTGTCCAGTATCAAATCTCATAAGTGGACACCAAGAGACAACCCTGTGAGACCAGTATGAAACCTTAAACAGTTTAGAGGAATTTTCTGAAAATATGGCAAGTTGCCTGAATGGTAGCTTTTTGTAATGATCTATATAAATTTGAGTTAATGCTTATTGTCTTCAGGCTTTTATACAATGAATATGGGATATCTTCTGTGGCAGAGAGAACTATTGGTATGGTATGGACTTTATTCATTTTCCATAAGCATTTTACTTCTTGAGAGAGTTCAATATATTTACTTATTTTTTCTACATATAGTAGCTATTATGTATTTTTGATATAGCAATATCTATACAGATAGTTTTGTGCAATTTGTCAAGAGGATAATATCCATCCTATTATAATGGATCATTTTATCTATTATAATTGCTCTGTTAAAATAGTTTGTTTCTTGTGTTCTCAAGGAAAGTTTGTGGAAAATATTTTTAATATGGTGTTTTTGTGGTGATGAATAAATATTTTTTTTATTTTTATTGTTACTGGGATATAATAAGGTTCTCATATGTTAATTAGTTGAATAAATATTTCTTTGCTATATACTTGTAAGAAGTCTAATTATTTTACATTTTGGATATTATTTTTAGTTATTATTTTCTTTTCAGGGTCATTTTTATGTTTTAACGATGGAAACTCCTAAGAAATCCCCAAAATATACTAAATTCAAAATTAAGACCAACAAATATTTATTTACACAAGTGACTGATCTCAGAATGCTTAATATAATATGTAAATAACAGAATGTGTAAATAAGGCAGTACACTTAAGCTGTAAATAAGGCAGTACACTTAAAATTATACTTGTAAGCTGATAAAAGATGACACATCCGTTCAATAATGTGGTGTAGCTGCCGAAAGCAACCTTCCATGAATCAAATTGTCTGGCATTCTTTCAATAAAGCAATTAACTCATAATAGGTGTATTCTTTGCTTTTTATTTGATATTACAAATTTAATTAATTGTACTCCCAAGCTGGGGAGAAGAATTTCTTTTATTATTTGTTTTTTTTTTTTGCTTGTACATAATTGATCTTGACTTGTTTTGAATATTTGAAATATATATTTATTACTAACTTCTTGTTTATAATCATTGTTTATTTATACTGTATATATTACTGTTCAACCTAATAAATATCATTGTGGATTTTTGTTTATGTAAGTGTCATTTTTCGACTGTTGTATTTTGCTTTCCCATTAAGTTCAGACCTGGTACTTGATTAGACTCCTAATTTTGTATAACCCCACTTTTTGTGTTGCATGGTACGTTACATACTGGTGAATTAATTTAGCTATCTGATTATGTTTGTACCAGGCTTTTAACCTATTTGATGTTGAAATTTTTATTTGTAGCCTGTGACGCCATGTTGAATTTTCGTCGATGTTAAGCCTAACATTTTTTTTTAAAATAATAATTGGGTTTACTAATTCGTAAAAAATTATTTTTTTATGTTTCACAAACAAAATAAATATATTGAATTATATAGAAACAACAAAAATTATATTTTAAAAGTTCGTTTTATTATAAAAATTGTGACACATAGTGACATCTAGTATCAAAAACATTCTGATGTAAACACGAAAGTATTCAGGATCGCCCATGCAGGTCAATGAGGTCAACATGAATATTTTCGGGAACAACGTAGGACAGGTTAAGTTGCCTGTGATATGTTGCATAGTTGCTTGTGTAGCATGACATTTCCTGTATATGTCATCCATGATATCTTTATGGTCCTTGAACTGATAATTTGGTCCTGTATTGCAATCATAAAGCCTTTTGTTTTTCCAATTCCCATCCCTCAGCCAAGTAGTTTGATGCTGCCTTGTCAACATGTGGCTGTGCAAGATCAGTTGGGTGTCTACCATGGAGTGTTTTTCCCATCCATGCTTGCTGTTTTGTGAATCATTTGTGTTCTTTGTACTTTGTACCTCAGGTTTAATCATGTACAGTTATCAGCCTAGAAAATTGTATCGTATAGTGATGATGATTATTGTTTAAAATGGAAGAAGCTTTGTAGCGAGTATCTGTTTCTGATGATGAATCTTAATGTTAATAAGACCTCTAAGCTCAGGAGGGTAAGTCTCTCCTTAACAGAATTTGGTTGGTGCAGACTATTGTTGTTATTATTAGATAAAAGATACATAAAACTCAGTATTATCATCATATTCCAAAATTAAATAATTAATAAAACAGAAAGGTATCTGTATTATTTTTTCATTGTAATACATTATAATTTTTCCCATTTAAAATAATGAGAAATAAACTCCCAGTTAACATTTTCACAGATAACTGCTTTTCATAAATGGATTATTGATGGCAGATACTTGTGTGTACAATTATGACATATTACGACTAAACTATGTTATGCATTTGGAATTATATATTTTTAATTTATGAATAATGAAATCATATGAAAGTTTCATACTTCATTATACACATTATTAGATTACCAACTTAAGTCAGATTTCTAAAATTACAACACAAACTCATTTATCTCAACTTAAAGTAACTATTAAAGAATTAAAATCTAGTTGCTTTCTTTCTTCAGTAATATATCACACAAGGAACAGTTGTTTATGTAGTTTTTATTAAAGAAAATGCATTTTGAGTCTTAATGACCCCTCTTCAGTCCTTAGAATGGTTATGATGATTTGTTACTGAAGAAAGAAAGCCACTAGCTTTTAATTCTTTAAAGTCTACAAAAACTAATAACAGAAACCTAATTAATATAGCTATATCCAATTTGGACTATAATTTCAATGATCTAAAATTTGACTTGTTGGAATAAAAAGAAACACACACATTACTGCAAGATTTTATCAAAAACATGTATGTACAGTACAATATAACCTCAATTTTTGCAATTTCAACACATCCAGTAATCCAACACTAATCACTCTCAGGTATAGTATTATCACCAATGCAAAGTCAAATAAGCAACCTACTAGTTCAAACTGCAGTTTTCATCAAATTTTAATATTTTCCCACTAAGTGTGGCATAATATCAAGTCTAAGCTTGAACACAGCTTGGTCATGATACTAAAGATTATTAGGCTTATCATCTTATGCTGCTCAAAAAACGTACAGTATCTCATAACACAATAAGTATAAAAATTAGTTCCCCAAAATTTCCCATTAAAAATACTGTATCTCCCACTATATTTTCCATGGTTGCTTCAATTTTCTATTAAATTTAGTGTGGAATCCACCAACTTGGTAAAACTAATCATCAGTGATGCTCAAATGTTTTGATCGGTAGTCCAACTTAATACAATGTATTAATATCATGCAAATAAAGAAATTTCTTTCTAAATGATTAAACCATTAAATTCATCTAACTTTCAATAATCTGACACTGCTCCAGTCCCATATATGACAGATTACCAAGATTGTATTGTATATAAAAATACTATATAGTGATTTTAGAATACAATATTATAATTATATTCCAAAATACTGTGACAATTCATGAATGCAGATGTTGCAATCAAATACAGGCCAAACATCTTTCAACATTAAACTGTAATTTTTTTTATTATTGATAAATTTTATTTATTTAAACATTACTGTACTGTTATCCATAGTCAAAGAAGGCAGAATTTCATTTTGTGACTGAAAGAAATGTATTTCTTGTATATTCAGAAAACAATCTTAAGAATTAATATTGACAAACCTCTGAACTCTAGTTGATCTTGTTCTTCATCCTAAAAAAAATTTAAAACATATAATTAATCATTTTTGTTTTTATTATTTCAATTGCATAAACTATATATTTCATTGTGAATGTGTCTCTTTAATCCGATTTTCAGTTTGGTAGACTATCATATACAGCTTTCCTGAAAGCTGTATAACGAAATAGCAGCTGCCATAAGTGATTTTTTGAAAGTATATATTTCATGTAAATTATTTCATAATTATCATAAATATATTATTTATATCTTGAATTTCAATTACTCAATAACCTAAATTCTAATTCATTCATTGATAACTTATTCAAATAGTACATACATACATACAAAACGACTTCTAACAACTTAACACTGCGTTGAGTAATAACAATCCAAGAAACCTTTTTTTATAACAGTATTTTGTTCGTAACAAACTTCACAAACGTTTTCGACCTCCATCAAGGTCTGCTTCAGGTGGTGACTAAACAGTGTCTCCTCTTGACTGTTGGAACAATGACACCCGAGATGTAAATAATTGCTCGTATCGTGTTTCACCCCTCCGCTTGTCCCAGTTTGAATTCTTCGAACAAATATCTCCACGCCTGCACGATCGTTTCACCATCTTTAAAGTTGATGCAGGTGCCCCCAATGTTGGCCTTATAAATCTCCCAGACCTCCAGGTGACGGATGTGATCAATATGAAACGCCTGTCTGATTACTCTGGTGTTTTGGAAGTCCGCCCGGATTTCAGGGTCGGTAACATAGGTTGACAAGGTGCACCACCACCTTGTTGACCTACGTTACACCAAACAGGCACACCACCGCCTTGTTGACCTATATTACCAACCCTGAAATCTGGGCGGACTTCCAAAACACCAGAGTAATCAGACAGGCGTTTCGTATTGATCACATCCGTCACCTGGAGGCCTGGGAGATTTATAAAGCCAACATGGGGAGCACCTGCATCAACTTTAAAGATGGTGAAACGATCGCACAGACGTGGAGGTATTTGTTCGAAGAATTCAAACCAGGACAAGTGGAGGAGTGAAACGCGATACACGCAATTATTTACATCTCGGGCGTCATCGTTCCAATGGTCAATAGGAGACACCGTTTAGTCACCACCTGAAGCAGACCTTGGTGGAGGTCAAAAACATTTGTGAAGTTTGTTACAAACAAAACACTGTTATAAAAAAAGGTTTTGTGGATTGTTAGTACATATATACATACATACATACATATGTATATATTTGTACTGTTTGAGTAAGTTAATAAAAATATACATATTTTCAAAATATGTAATTACAGGTAGCCCTCGGTTTATGCTGCAGTTCCGTTCCTACAAAAGCCAGCGCAAATCGAATTGACATAAAATGAACCCATATTTACAAATAACTAATTAAAAATTTGTTTGCAAACTTTTAAAAGTTGAAATCGTAATTTATTAGAATGTTCACTTCAAAATAGCTAAACAGATCAGTAAAAATCTGTAATTTAATCGTTTTTCAGTTTAAAACATAAAAAATTATAAATAGTTACCCGACGTTTACAGTAAAATACTGGCGCTGACTTGTTGTTGGCACAAGCTTTTTATATTTGTTGTTACGATTTTCCTTGAATGTACTGTACTGCAAGCATATTTTCCCTCTCTCTTCCGTTTTTTTCCGCAACTTCGATACATAGTTTAATAATTAGTTAACTGAAATGATATTGGGTAACAAATATCACTGATTTTGGCAAATTTAGGGCTTAAAAACTGGCAAGATTGATCATGC